TGAGTCACATTCTTTTTAAAGAATTTATTTTGAAGGATATATTTGAGTCACATTCTTTTTAAAGAATTTATTTTGATCCAGTGGATTGATTGAAAATATATGATTAAAAGAAAGGAAATGTTTTTTATTTGCATGCAATATTATTTTAATGAAGAATATAGGGTTGAAAAGAAGAAAGGAAAAAATGTATTTTATAAAAAAAATGGGAATCAAACACGGGCTAATTGTTATAATGTTAGTGACGATGGTAGAGAGAGAAAAAAAAAATCGTCGACATACTTGTACGTATTTTATTGAAAATCAAAGTTCTATATTTATATAGGAAAATTAGGACCGATTATAATGGTTGTTCACTAACAAATATATAATTTATAATATTCTCCTTTGAATGACTTATTACAAAATATATGCCTCGTTAAAATCTTGTCCAATGAAAATTCAGCGTGACAATAATATCAAACGAAGGAAAAGAGTACAGATAATTATATAAAAATTGGAGAAATAAATTGTTGCCTTACTAAAATGTTGTCAAAAATTCAGTAAAACAAAACTTGAGCAAAAGAAAAATAGTACATCTATGAGCTATTCTCTTGATTTCAATTAATGAAAATCATTGTATTAAGTCATTCATGTCTTGTATGACATTCTCTTCAATATCATAATTCTAGTGTAATATACTTCGTGTTATCTTGTTTTAGAATCCAAGCAATATCTTCATATAAGATATTTATCAATTTTTGCTTGTCTTTAATCATTATGATATTTGTTGAAAAATAGATTGTGTTGTTGGTCTATTCGGGGAGTCGTACGCAATTTGTTATATATAAAACTATTATTTTGAAGGTAAATATCTTGAAGGTTATATAATTTATTATACAAAAAATATGCCTCATTAAAACTTTGTTAGAAAAATATATAGAAAATAGTGCATTATGCAAATGGACATGTAAAAATGAATATTTCAAGTAATTTCCTCTTTAACAAATTTAGGCCTACTAAATTTTCAAATTAATTAGGTTCATATAAAAATAGAAAAAAACATTTCCTTTAGATAGTGGAAGAATTTCATAATGAATATACTTCAAACTATATAAATGATACAAGAAAAAGGCTCTCCAATAATGACTTCTTAAGCAAAAGCTTTGGGAAAGTTTGCTTTCTTCTATTTTTCATCATAAGCATGATGGTATCTTCAAGAAATTCTCTGTTTTTAAAAAGTATATTCTATCTTTGAGAAGACATTTTTAAATTTGGAGAGTTAAGATTTTAAAATATTCCAATAAGCTCTTTATATTTAACAGTTAATTTTATTATTCCCAAAAATAATTATTATTTTTCTCCATATTTTATTCTAATTAGTTTTTCTTTAAATTATTTTATTATTTTCTTATATTGAAAATTGAAACACTTTGAATGCTGACTTTTCAAATCTGGAAAGCCAAATACACTCTCTAATTTAAAATATTAATTTAAAAATATTCTAGGACAATTAACAATTATTTGGAACGATAATTGATACCTAAAACATTTATACCATACCATGTATGTGCAATATTAAATAAAAATTATTAGCAGAGTGGTCATGCAAAAATTGAAGGGCTATGTTAAATGTACATAATAATTTAAATGATGGTTTACCAACTAATGATGTGGCAGAATTTAATAAGATCAAAATCTTATCAATAAAAACACTTCTCCACGTACATTTTGACGCATCATCATGATGTAAAAAGTTATGTATAACAAGTATTTTCCAAAAATGGAAATAGTCAATTCAATTTATTTTAAGAAGTTACTAATTCAAGAATTTTATATTTAGACATCAAGAGTAGTTTTAGCGTTCGTTTTGCAAATTTATATATCAAGTTATAAAGAGAAATAATAATGAAATCTACAAAATGTTTAATTAAAATTAATGTTTGATGTTGAATGAAATAATAAATATATTATAAATTGTATCCAAACGGAGACAATTTCTAAAGAAAAGATCTAGATATGACTCTTATCAATCCCATAATTCAACTGAGAGAGTTGCTAAGCAAATGAGACAAACACTACTTCTTCTAGCTTGATTTGAGGGTCCGTTTGATATGATTTTTATTTCCTCTAGAAGAACTTTTTGAGAAAGCTATTTTAATTTTTGTTTTTCGAGAAAGCTATTTTAACTTTTGTTTAAAAATTAATTTTGAAAAGAGTTTCCTCTCCAGAAGTTCTCATAAAGGAAGTCATATTAGACTACCTTTCTCTAAAAACTCTTTTCATTAGGAGAAATACTTTTATAAAATTAATCAAATGGATCCAAAAGTAATTTTTGGATTTCAAAAGCTAATTTTGACTTTTTAAAAACCATGTCAAATGAGCATTAAGTCTTATACATTAATTAAGCAACCTGACTCATATGCTCATCTTGTGCTTCTTGTTGGTCCATGAGAATCTTAGGTCCTTCATAAAGTAAGGATAATTTCTATCACGGGATATTTCGATTTTAATATTATCAAATTTTTAAGAGGATTAGTACTGAATTCCACGAAATATGTAAATAATAAGTTAGTGGTAATTATGAATATGTGATTAATATTAATGTTTAATTTTGATTAATAAAAAAATATTAATAAATTTTTTCAAACAAGAACAAAAGCATAGTTTTAGACTTGGACTATTGATCATCCTCGTATGCGCAAACCCCTTGACAAAGTAAGATTCATTTGGCAAGACTTTTACTACTTGTAAAAAAATTTCTTGAAAAATCTACTTCAAGTTAATTTCTTTTTAAAAAATTTTCTTGTCAGATAAAGCGTTTAGAAAATTATCCAAAAATGTTCAAAAAGAATTTTCTAATTAACTTTTGACTTTTCAAAAAACACACCAACTGGAGTGTAACGCCCCGAAACCTATGTCTCGAAAATTACTCAATTAATTTCTTTATTCATAAGAAAAGTGAATTTACTCATATTGTAATACACAAAAAAATAAAAAATAAAAAATAAATTGTAGAAACTTTGTGGAATAAAATAAGTTATTTTATTGTCTCGTAATAAGTCAAATTAATTCAAACCATTAATGAAATATAAATTCACCGGTTTTGAAAATAAAATTTCGATTTTAAACTAAATGCTAAATACTGAAAGAAAATAAAATTCTTGATCCAGCGACATGGACTCTATTATCCATCAAGCATCTATAAAAATAATTTAGAATATAAAATGAGTATACAAATATACTCAGTATAGATATCATGCAAGCATTTTCACAATTTAATATAAAAAGCAAGTAAAGCATGCACATAACATAATTTTCTATTGGGTTAGAAACCTGGCTGTCCCATTCTCCCCTAGGTCATGCTCATTCTCAATCTCCACTTAGGGTATTTAGCCCTATGATTAGTTTTTGTATAGATCTACATAATAATATCCTATGGTATTACCTACAAGATCCTTCTTTAATTTGGATCACATAATACTACGTAAAATACTTAACTTAAGATATTAAAAAGTGAAAATATAAAATCATTTGGAATTGAGAGAAATCCATACCTAATTTGTTAAATTCTTGGTGTACTTGTATTACTTAGGGCTAAAAATTATTGCGAATGGATCTTGAACGCCCCAGAATTTTTTTTTCCTTCCTTGTTCTTTCTTCTTTCTCCCCTTCTTTTCTTCTCACATTTTTTTTAATATATTTTTTCCCTCTCTCTCTCTTTCTCTTACTTATTCTCTCTAAATTTGTGTGAACTGAAGTGCAAAACAAGATGACATTTATAGGAGTGATTTGATAAAGATAGTTACCTAATTATAATTCTAATAAGACTTTTAATTCAAATTTAAATTGTTGTTTCAACAAACAAACTTGTTAAGAAATTCGAATATAAAAAAATTATAACTACATGATGATAAGTTTTCAATATGAATATATGCAAATTCAAAATTTATTTAAATACTTTTATATCAGATAATTCAATCATAATTTAATTCATATCCAAAATTATATTAAAATTTAATTTCTTGTAAAACTCGTACATATCAAAAACTCATATATATCCAATTGGATTATTTCATATGTACTGAATGAGAGTACCAAATGGTGTCCCCTCTCTCACAGTGCACGGGAATTCCGCGTGAATTTTAAAATGCTGACATGTGATCCCCTACCCTTATTGTGAGTAGTAGGTAAACGATTCGGTAAAAAAATTCGATATGTGTAACATTATCCATGTCCAATTATTATGATTATTGACACAAGGCCCTTAAAAGTGATAAAGTTGCTAGGTTACCCTAAAATCTTAAAACTTTTAATTATGCCTCATAATATATTGTCAATATTTTATTTTATTTATTTATTATTATTGTTTTGGTATTACACCGATCCTATGTTGCCTTGTGAACCTCTCGGAAATAGAAATGAATCCAAACAGTAGAATGTCTTGCTTTTAAGATTTTCTTATACATGCTAATATGGTTTTTCCCCCCTTGACAAAACTTGCATAAATGAATACACAAATATACCTCCCAGAAAATATTGAAGATGAAAAAATCGAACTTCAATCATGGGATTCTTTTACTCTATGAAGAAATATGTTGAAAGGGAAGAAACAATAAAAAATGGGAGGTAGAAGGGCTTCGAACTACACTAGAGCTCCGCGACCAACTCAAGGCAATCGAGCATTTTGAATGAAAATGACCACTTGTGTGACAGAAATGCTAGTATATAATTCACCTTTTCTAAATTCTGCTATCTATTTAAATTCACGAGATTGTAAGTTCACCATCTAGTAAGTTTCGATAACACCATCATGTTCCTGAACTGTATAAATTATGTGAAACTCTCCAGGGTTTATGTACAAAGAACAGAATATACCACATGATTTGTAAAGAAAGCCATTCCCTTACCCTTCCTGACCGGGTTTTGGGTAAAACGAAAATAGGGTCGATAGAGCTTGATCTGATTTGCTAGTAACCCAAATAACAGATTCAAAGGTGGTCATATAATGGTTGAATCCACAAGAACATAAAGATCAAATTTTCATTCTACAGTGTACAAAACAAGCTGTTTAGTAACGCAACATTATAAGTTCCTTGAAAGTATAGAGGTACAAGTTTGTCATGTATTCATTCTTCTGTACACAAACGTTTTCCTTATTCTTTAGATTACATCTATTAGCATAAACTACTCTACATATAGTATACATAAACAATATGAAGCATGAAAATCTACTGCCTTTACGTTTCGTTTGGTTGGGTTGGACTGGAGTGGACAAAACATTGTTAAAGAAGAATGGAATGCTAATTTTTTGTCCACTGTACTGTCCGGTGATGTCAACTACTGTGCGCACTTGGTTACTGTTTGTCATGTATTCATTCTTCTGTATGCAAACGTTTTCCTTATTCTTTAGATTACATCTATTAGCATAAACTACTCTACATATAGTATACATAAACAATATGAAGCATGAAAATCTACTGCCTTTACGTTTCGTTTGGTTGGGTTGGACTGGAGTGGACAAAACATTGTTAAAGAAGAATGGAATGCTAATTTTTTGTCCACTGTACTGTCCGGTGATGTCAACTACTGTGCGCACTTGGTTACTCTGCTCGAGATGCAGATGACAACATTGTATCCATTAAGCCTTCAAAGCATTTTTCTGCACTTCCCACATTGTGTGCATTGGCTTGACAATCAATGGTTGGAGGCTGGCAATTTGTTTCCCAGGTAGCCATGCCACATCCACCTATACTATTGGCAGGTATAGATGAACCAGCCAAGCATGGCAAATCATCCTCACCAGTAGACTGAATCCCACAATCTCCTTCCTTAAAAGTATTGATATTATTGCACTGTTTTTGCAAGGGGAAAGCTCCCAATTCATTGTCAATCTTTCCTCTAAGATCCAACAAAAGACCCCTCAGCCTCAAAATCTCAGTTTCAAGACTAGCCTGCCTCTGTAGTTTCTTGATGAGTTGCTGGTTCACAATTCTCAATTTCTTAACTTCCTCTTCCAAATAGGCCACCTGCGCCTTTTTCTTCTCTCTGTACTTCCTAACCGCTTCTCTATTACCCAAAGCCCTACGAGGTTTCGACCTGGGACTTGTTCTATTGCGAGGGGTGTTGTCTTCTTCGGATGGAAAGACATGGGTGTGAGTATGGTAGCATGTGTGAGTGTGTGCAGCATCAGGTCCCGGAGGATTGCAAGTGTGAGTATGGGTACATGTTTGTGAATTTCTCAGAAAATCATCAAGAAATGAATCCCCAGAAAGTGATCCATAAACATTAGTAGATGAATCAACTGATAGCTCTACCTCTCCATCATCAATTTTCTCTTTCATGTCACAAGGATACTAATCTACTCAGAAATCCTAAAACCCTCTTACACACTGAAATTTTCTTGTTTAACTTCTCACAAATTCATAAAATCAATAGAAAGAAAAATCCTTTTGCTCACTCAAAAATAATTTATCCTAACCCCCCAATTAATCACCAATCTTTTCAATCAAGAAATTGATGATCCATACTCAAAAATTTCATTCAAGAATATATGCAAACAGATCATAGCCTTAAGAACAGAACCTTAAGTGTTCCCACAGCATAAATTCAACATAGGTTCACCAAACCACACAAAATTTCGTAACCTACAAAAAAACAAACGAGCCAATATTAATCATCAGAGAAAAAAAGCAACTTTCTTGAGCAATGACTGAAAATTCCATATTAAAATTCTTTATAGAAAGATAAAAGTCAATCAAGAAGACAGGATTTTATGCTTCAAATCTTTCCAAGTGGAGAAGAGAATCAGAATTTAAGTGGGACAAGAATGGATGACAAAAAATAGACATGCCTGAAAAAAACAAAAAACAAAAACAAAAACAAAAAAAAGAACATATAGAGTCGGTGATTCCTTGTTTGTATAAGATTATACCTGATTTTTGTTAGATTCAGTGGCCATATAACAAATCTTTGAGACCTCTGATGACCTTTTTTTTTTGTAAGAGAACTGATAAGGACTGGGCACATTTTTGTGTGATCTTATCTCTTTGAGCACAAAATGTCAACCACAGTTGTCTGTGCAAGTTAACTAGTGACACAGGTGTCATTTTTCCTGGGAACCAGCTAGAATCTTGTACCACCCAAATCCATAACCGCATTTCTGATCTCTCTCTTTTTTTTTTCAATTTCTTAAAAGTTGAAGACGACGTCTTCCATTCAAAACAAAGGAAAAAAGACGACGTCATTTTTTATTTTTTATTTTTTTTAACAAAGGAAAAGTCTGTTTGGTCAGGCCAAAAAAACAGGGGCCGAGCCGACGTGGCGGCCCTCTGTTGGCGGGTATCTGCATGAAACCCGGCAATAAAGCAGGGCTCCAAAATAAAAGGTTTAAAATTGATTAGTCACCTATTTAAACCCCGTTTGGTAGTTTTTTTTTTAAATATATTTTTTTCTCTCTTCTTTTCAATCACACATTCTTTATTAAAATAATATTACACGTAAATAAATTTTTTTCTTATTTTTCAACCACACATTTCACATTAATTTACTATTCTAAAATGTATTTTTACATAAAAATGCCTATCAAACACCCCCTTAATCCGAATTTTGTCTTCAATTCAGAACAAAATAAAGATATTAAACCCCCGTTTGGCTTCCTTTTCTGGAAATGAAAATGAGTGAAATAATATTTTTTTAAAAAAATGAGTGATTGAAAAAGAAGATTTTTTTTGATTTACTTGTAATATTACTTTGTGAAAGTTTGTATGACTGAAAATAGGAGAGAAAAAATGAAATGTAATTATATTCAAACGGGCGCTAAATAGTAATTTACTCCTATAACGACTATAATATAGAGAAAATTACGCCTATACTTGTTTTTAAAGCTTACATTTCATTAGTCAGATTTTAAGTTTAATCTTTCATTAATCAGGTTATAATTATTTTTTAACATTTATTAATAAATATACCAATAATAACCACTCAATAATTAAAATTACATATCATTCTATTTCCTCTCCATGCTCGTACATTTTCTCTCTCCACTCACGCACACTCTCATAAATCAGATTTGATGGAGGAGGCAGGCGATGGTGTGGTGGTTGCTAGCAGCGTTGTGGAGGAAAATCATGTCATCGGTTGAGCTCTAGTGTGTCGGAGGGTAGAGAGGCCAGCAGTGGCGGATCCAGGAAAAATTCAACACGGGTTAATATGTATTAAAAAGAAATTATTACACATAAAAAAAATTACTTAAAATTTTTTTTGATGGACATTTGGGTCGAAGGGACAGGCTGTAGCACAGCCCAGCCCGTCCGTGGATCCGCCCATGGAGGCCAGATTGGTAGTCGCTTCCGACTTTGATCACTACTGCAGTCAGAATATATGTGTATTTATGCAAGACAAGAACAGTGCAGGAAGAGAAAAAGTCAACCTATGGATAGCCTGGTGGTTGATGCTTTGAACTGATAAAAACTTGGTAAATCAGAGGAAACGAGCGAGTAAAATCGTGGATGTCGAAATATGGTGAGAAGAGGTTGTCGAATGACAGAAACTCAAGTTTGGTTAAATTTGTAAATCAATGAGGTAGAACAACTTGAAATCATTGTGTGAAATATCAAGAAAAGTAAGATGGGGAAAACTAGAGAGAAAAGTAAAATTCTTAAACATGTTGAAAGAAAGATTGATCTTTCAAATTGCCAACGATTTTACATTTGCGGGTTTTAGGAGTTTGACTTAGCCTCCTAATTGGTTCTTTGATTGGTTATTTCGATCTAGGTTTTGAATAGACCAAAGAGTAGAAGAAACGAAACCAGTCAAATAAATTTTGGAGCCATAGTTTAAGATTTTTTTAAGGTTGGATTTAGAGTTGTTGAACTGGTGATGTCAAAACCAGAAATGGAGGTGAAGGCCTTGAAAATTTTCAATTAAAAGTAAAACAAAAAATAAATTGTAAGGAATAAATAGATGTGATGAAGTGATTGTAACCAATTGATCAATTATAGTGTAATTGTGACCAATAAAATGAGTAACTTGTGACCAATAAATAACGTAACCTAAAAAATAAGTGATTTTGTGATTAAATTTGTAATTATGATCTATAATTTGTGTTTATGTAACAAATAAATAAATTATGATAAATTAATTTGATAATTTGTGATATATAAAATAGTTGTAGCAAATTAATTTGATAAGTTGTGACCAATAAATAATTTGTGATATAAAAACGTATAATTTGAGACTAAATTTATAATTATGACATACAAATTGTGTCTTTGTGGCTGTGGCCTTATATAGTTTGTGACTAGTATGTGATTTGATTATGGGTCATTACCTACATGTGGATGAATATTTTCACCTTTTTAATACTACGAATGATGGATGTTATATTATTGTGGATAACATTTGTGTATTATGATTGCTATTTAATTTAGGTTAATTTTTTGTCAGATAGAATTTTTGATAATATATTTGTGAGAACAGATTTATAGTTAGACAACATGTCACATTCAATACATGACTGGTCACAATAGATCACAATTAACACACTTGGTCACAAAATGTCACATTTAACATATTAATAGCTTACAAACGTTTAAAAATGAGTTGCAATGAATAATTGTGGCTAAATAATTTGATAATTTACAATAAATAAATGAGTTGTGATCAATAAAAGTTTTGATTTTATGACCGATAAATAGTCCGTGACCCTAAAATTTTTGATTCATGAACGATAAATAATATGTGACTTATAAATTTTTTGATTTGTGACTGAAAAATAAGTTGTGATTGAAAATTAATTTGTGATCAACTAATTTATAAGATGTGAACAAATTGTATAGAATTGTGACATTAATATATTTAATTAATAAAATATATGTTTAATAAATTAGTTTATAAATAAAAGTTAAAAAAATCTGATTTTTGAAATTTGGTCATGAACACATAAGATTACAGTTCATGCGCTACGGGTGACAATTCGCTGTTAATGTCGCGGTTCACTAGTCACAAATTTAAGTTCACAAGTTACAATCATTTCATATAAGTCATGAATCAGTATAAACGGGTCACATGTCGTTTTGTAGAAGCCACTAATCAAATTTATATGTCACATTTTATGTTACGGGTCAATGGTAAAAAATCATGTTAAAAATCATATTTTATATGTCACAATGTATATAGGTCACAAGTTGTTACCTTAAAAAAAAAAAAGATTTGTGAATTTAATATATTTAATTAATCAGCTAATTAATTTGATAAATTGTGATCAATAAAAAAGTTGTGATTTGTGGCTTTAACGTTCTATGTTTTTTACTAGTACGTAGATGTGACCATAAAATATATGATGTTGTGACGTTAATTTATTTATTTATCCATTTAATTAATTTGATAAATTATGAACGAGAAATAACTTATAATCTATTGACTGTGTGTTTTATGTTGTATATAATCACGTTCTATTTAATCATGACTATTTGTGATTAGGTCTGTGTAAACTATTATGGTTTGTGATCATATCTGTGTAAGATGTTATTGTTTGTGATCAAATTTGTGTTATCTGTGACTATTTGTGACTAATTTTATATTCATTATGATTGTTTGTGATCATGTTTATCTTAAACGTGATTGTATGTGATCAAGTATGTGTTAACAATGACATGATTAACCTGACATCTGTTAGCGATTAATGTTTGTGACATAACATGTTTACATTTAAAAATTTTGTGACAATTGATATGTTAACCGTGAACCCGTATGACCAAGTCTGTGTTAACCGTGACCTATTTTGCCAAGCTTGTGACCGTTTATGACTAGATTTCCTTCTTTATAATTTTCATGCCTCTATCATTTCTCATATGCTTGATGCTAAAACAACATTATTTGAAAGGTTCACTCCACAGTCAAATAAAAGGTCTCTTCCGTTATTCATCTAAAACATTTCATATAATTGGTGTGAGCACCAGCTCTATTCCAATCCCCTGGTACTAAACACGAATAAAAGACAAACCAAAATTCTACTATGCTTTGGCTAGAATTATTGTACTGCAAGAATTATTATACAGCCACCTACACTAACAACCAGTCACCTCACCAGCATCGTCACCACCGCAATCACAAAGCACCACCACCACATCGCATCGGTAAACCTTGACACACAGGAAACATGATGAAGAGAAGACAGAGGTAAATAAGAAATAAACCCAAATTTCCCCATATTAACTAACTGAGTGTTTAATCTAACTACTAAAAACCTCTCAAATCCTTGTTCCCACACCAGATCCATTACCTAAAGGTCCTGCCCAAATCACTCAAAATGATGCCCAAATCGAAAATCCATACCGTTTTCGCCAACACTGGTTGTGCCACCTCCCAATCTTAAAGGTCCTCGTTGCGTGCAGCGGTATAACAACCGATCAGTGCTGCAAGTTGAGTTGCATCAATGCGAAGTGGCACTATGGGCAATGACGTGAGCGCCACCGCAACTACGTAACTCACACTACCACAGCAATGTTATCACCGCAGCTGTGCTCCTCCTTTCCAGTGGTTGAGAGAGAGAGAGAGAGAGAGAGAGAGAGAGAAGTGAGAGGCGTTGTGATAGAGAGAGTGCGTGAGAAACAAGTGAAAATTTGTTTAGGGTTTGAGGGTGTGGATGTGACGGATAAATGGATTAATTTAATTTTATAATATTATTTATTAAATTTAAAATTTTGATTTAACACCTGAGTTTTGAACTATTCTAACAAGATTGTTAGATTTGAAATGTAATTTTTATAGTGTAGTAGTTGTGTAGTTTTCCCTAGAATATATTATATTATCCCTTGTTTGAGTCCAATTAGTGATGGCAACGGCCCCTACCCCGCCTTAGACGGGGCGGAGGCGAGGGAACTTTTTGTCCCGTTAAAATTTTTTTTTTTTACATTTTCAAAGTTTCGAGTTATATTATTATTAGAGAATAAAATACAAATTTAAAATGAATTTTTAAAGGGTGAATTGTCTAGAAATAAAATTATTTTTAATTTTTTTTCTCTTCACGGTGGCGGATGCCTGGCCCCGCACCCCGCCAACCCGTTCGAGGTGGGGTAAGGCGGATTTTTTTGCCATCCCTAAGCCTATTCCTGTCAAAAATTTATTTTCTATCACACATTCTCCATCAATCACTATTT